CCCTATGAACCCTGAACCCTAAACCCTAAACCCTAAACCCTCAACCCTACAAACCCTAAACCCTATAAACCCTAAACCCTAAAACCTAAACCCTAAGCCCTAAACCGCGTCAATGAGGCACCAACCCCTCACTTCCCGTACTCTTATAAGCTTGACTGTGTAATGATATATCTAATACGAACCCAATGAGGCTTAGGGTCTTGAGGGAATTTTACGGTTTTGGGGTTTAGGGTATTCAGGGCTTCTAGGGCTTTAGGGTTTTTAGGGTTCAGAAATCTGAGCTATAGTCTACACTCTAGTATCCCCCTTGATACCCAGCATAATACGCCCCTAAATTACTGCCCTTTCTAACCCCCCCTACAAGGAGTTTAGACCCTAAACCCTAAACCCTAAAATCGCAAAACCCTAAACCCCAAAGCCCAAATCTAAGGATATCAAGCAGCGAATCCTTTGGGGCAGGGGAATGGATGTCTGTGAAAATCTTATTTATACAATCCCTACCCCGCACCCTAATGAGCTATAGGGATTCAAAAGGGGTGCTTTACAGGGCTGATGAAGAGGAATACTAGGACTCAAGACTATACTTCATATAAAATCCACGATGAAGCCGAAATCCTAGACCCTACACCCCTTGACCATGTACGTCTAAACATATAATACTATATATATATATATATGCGAGTTCCCTCCTAATGTAGACGCAAAAATTCTATAATTGTCATTATAGGTACCCCTAATCTTGGGAAACCCCGATACTGTTGATGGATGAAATCTTGCACCACTTAGGGGCCCTAAATTACTGTAATTTCTAGGACTTTAGGGACTTAAGGTGGTGCAAGATTTCCTCCATCAACAGTATGTATGTACATATATATATATATACAAATATATAAGGGACCCCGAAAAGGGCACCTTTGATTTTGAGAAACTCCCATATGTGTGTATATGTATATACACATATAGATACATGTATATAATATCTATTCTATGTAGAACTCGCCACTAAGCCCTCCTACTCTCTGAGCTTCCTGCGCGAGGTGGAAGGTGTACCTGTCTAATCTACGTGGCACTTAGGACCCCTACTAGGGGTCAACCATTAGGTACCTATAGGAGTATAAGGGAATCCCAGAGCTGGTTAAGGGTCTAAGGTCCAAGCTAAGTCACAAGGAGTAACTGCTAGAGGAGTAGACTATAAACATTGTCACGTGCTAAGAACCTCTATAGTGGCATATAAGGGGCTATATAAGGGTTCTAAGCAGCATCTGTGGGCATATACGGGTTAGGAAGCCGGCAGAATATTGAGATGATTAAGAGGGTCTGGGCTCAATTTTTCACAATCCAAACTTCTTAAGGCTTAAGATTTGTGGCAAAGGCCCTGGACATAGTCACCCCACTTGTGATGCGGCCCCCCTACCAAAAAAAGTCTTCGGAGTACCCAAAGAACCTGGAATTGTCTTTCAGGATGCGGGAACGTCCAGGACTACTGATTTTGTTGGTCCGGTGTCTTCCGGCGTGTGAACAATCCCGCGACCGCGCTGCGGCGAGTACGGGGCCAAGTTGGGCTAGCCACATAATCCACCAAGTCTCCCTAATCTAAGCATCCAAATAGCCCGATGTAGGTAATACCTATAGACCATAAACTTTACGGCCCCTTGGCATTATTTGTAAACTTGGATCCCTTGAGCATTTGCTTGACCCATTTGCAGGACCGGAAACAAACACAAGTACAGCAACCAGCACCCTCCGCCAAAGTAGCATGGAACCCGATGTGGCCGCGTATAACCCCCATATAAAAGGGAGGTTGTCCACAAAGAGCCCTGTCTCCTAGACTGCCCTATATCACCCTAGATATCCATATTTAATAACCCCTTACATTGACAGTAGCTGAAATTCACAGAAGCCCGTGGCCTAGCAGATGGTAGTAGCTCCACGCGTGACATCCGCAATAGTCAGATAGTCACGGGTGGAGAAACGGATTTCCCAGAGTATTGCAGAGGTAGGACGGCATGAAAAATTACCCTGGGCCCTATAAATCTTAGGCTCTAACTAAACCCCTGACCCTATGTCCTAAGGAACAAAACCTTAAGTCCTAAACCTTACATCTGAAGCCCCTAACCCAACACCAAGAGAGCCATTGTCTAAACTCCTAGTATCCCCCTTAATAACTAACCCCTATAGTAGTCCCCTATATACTCCCTTATATAACCTTCCTTGAGTAGTTTAGACCATAGCTCAAGAAGCCCCATAGGTGCCACTAAACTTCCCACCGGCTCGGTGGTAAGACAAAGCCAAACTATAACTGGAGGAAAGGGCTCAGGACATTCTGGGGTTTGGGAGGGGGGCGGGAAAGGGATGACCCCTATAGTAGTGACCTATATACTCCCTTATATAACCCCTCCTTGAGTAGTTTAGACTACAGCTCAAGAAGCCCCATAGAATAGGGAAGAATGTAGCCTGTTGCGTTAGCTACGCTTGCATGTTTTTGGCTTTTGCCTCCCTGGAATCCACGGTTTAGGGTTTAGGGCGGGGCTCTGCAAGTAGGTTACAACAGGGCTTGCAGAAACCAAAAACTCTATCAACCCTAAACCCCTCTAAAACGTAAACCTGATAGACCTCATACTATAAACCATAGACCCTATAAGCCCTAAACCCTATACACCCTGAACCCTATACGCCCTGAAGCCTAAGTCACTGCAGCTCATGGCTGCGCGATGGAGCCCTAAACCCTAAAGCCTCTAAGGTCCGTGTACAAACCCGTACTTACATTGGGCCCCAAAGTTCGCCATTCTTTAAATTATGGTTGTGTTTAGGATTTAGGGTTCGATCTTTGTATGAGGTCGTATGATCTACATACAGTATTAGGTATATGGACTTTATTTACTGATCTGCTGTGCTAGACGGACTTGGGCCCTTCAGCCTGCATGTTAAGGCAAATGAAAGAAATAACCACAAGAAGAGTGTATAGGGCTTAGGGTATATAGGCTTAGGGTTTAGGGTTACTCTAATATGGAAGTCACAATATTTACTAATTACTCAGAATGAAACTTGACAGCAACCCTGTTTTTTCTCCGATGTCTCCGTTTGCAATCCGGCAGTCAGCAGCGAAATCCGGTTCAGACCCTCGCCATGTACTGCGCTTTTGCCTTCCAGGGCTGGGAACACGCAGAAGCCGGGATTCTGGTTCCGGATATGGGCGAAGGCTGTTGTGTTCAGGACTTGCGGTTTCCCTAAGGGTCCAGGTACCTAATAATCATATATTTACCTAAAACCTGTACTATCCAAAACCAAAGGACCTAGTTCTTGGGTACTTGGACCCTCTGGGTTTAGGGCCCTAGCCCTAAACCCTGAAATTGAAAATGACGGAGTCACCAGAGCGGGCAAGTTCACACAAAGGCGAAGTGTGGAGTGTAGAAAGGGCAAAAACAAGCCTCAGAACGCAAATTCATGTTCAGGCCAATCCGACGGGTTGAGGGTTTAGGGGTGTGGGGTCTAGGGATTCAAGGCTTTAGGCCTTTGCAGTTTAGGGTTGATGTTATGGGGTTTAGGGGTTCAGGGCTTTAGGCTTTGAAGTTTAGGGTTGAGGGTACTCTGCGATGGATGGTAAGAATCTCAACACATAAACTTTGTGGCTGGATCAGGATCTTGAGAACTCAATCCATCACCTCCGTCAAGCGAACCCATTTTTGCAGAGAAGCCCGCTCGTACCTACTGTTTGGGACGTAGCCTTTGGGGGTTGTGGGGTTTGGCCTACACAGGTGGGTTGCCCAATTTACTTGAACGAGGATTTCGGAATCACTAATGAGGCTCTAGAGTAGTTGAAAAGTAGTTAGAAGTTGGCCCCGATCTTTCCTTATGATTTCTGTTTAGGGTTTAGGGTTTAGGGTTGTGAACAGAAGTAAGTGCTCATCGTGTCTTGGGGCCTAACGCAAGGAGCAAGCACTTGAACAGAAGACCACTCATATGGAGACCCTACAAAAACCACTGCCCTTCCCTACAGCCTACATAGGCTCCTATGTTAGTCTGTGGGGAGGTCATTTTACTCTATGCCGAGTACATCCCTAATATATTCCTATATATCCCTATAAGGCCCTATCATGCATACTTATATACGATGTAAATACTAATATATATATATATATATCTAGATGTATATATATATATATGCATGTATACATATACACCCATACGCACACACTGCCTCCCCTACCAGGGACCGCTCCAAACCCTGAAATCTAAGGCACAAAGCCAACTCAGAGCCTCATTGCCCAAGGCCTTCCACGCCTGCAAGGCAGTTGGGCCAACAATCTTCATCACTGCTGGTACAGAAAAAAATGGGGTTAGGGTTTAACGTTTAGGGTTTCGCGGCAGGGTTTAAGGGTTGGATAGTATACCAGAAAACCACAATTCACGTGGTTTAGGATACGTGGAGTCATGCAGGATGTTTGGTATCAACGTAATGAGACGAACAGAGCCCATGTGTGTGAGGATTTACGTTCGAATCTGAAAGATGCTCCCCTAAACCCTAAACCCCTAAACCCTAAACCCCTAAACCCTAAAAAAGTGTAAAGAATGTTGACAGCTAAAGCTGAAAGGTCTATAGGATCCCCTCCAACCTTGGGCTAAAAAGGTCTACTGTTTTGATATAGCTGAAAACTTAGCATTTAAAGAGGAAAAAAAGGGCTTGCTCAACACCCCTGGATGTAGGGTTCAGAAATGCTTTGGGCTTACTCAATGCCCCGGGGTTTGGGGTTCGGAAATGCTTTGGGTGTAGCGCACCGCGTTGGGGTTCTCAGTTTTAGAGACCAGTTGAGTTCAGATGTGGTGCCGATTTTGAGGATTCCAGATCCATGGATGCCAGCAAGCAGTTGGGTAACTCCGACCCCCAGGGTTAAGGTTCAGGGTTTAGGGTTTTGGGGTTATAGTTAAGGTTTTAGGGCTTATAGGGTTCATGACAGTCAGAGGGTCGGAACTTTTGGGGGTTTGGGTACGAAAGTCCTCTACCTTCGGATATTCTCGCAGCTTTGATTATGAAGAGCAACCTGAATACAGCAGTTGATGAATGCTTTATGCTTCACGGCATAAGATTCACGGTTCAAGGTTTGGGATGCAGGGGCCTAAATGAGCTATAGTCTAAACTCCTAGTATGCCCCTTAAGAAGCCCAATAATACTTCCCTCTATCATCCCCTACGTTACCAACCCCCCTTTGGGAGTTTAGACTATAGCTCAAATGAGGAGGTTTTCGTCTTTTGGAGCATTTCACAGTGCAAGCTTGTAAGGAGTGGTATAGTCCCCCTTAAGTAGATAGAATCTGGCTTTGGGTATTGTTTACTTAAAGGGGACAATAGGTGACAATCTGTCTTTTCCTTCTACCGTGTTCAAGGTTTAGGGGTTTAGGGTCGAGAGTATGCACTGCCCCTATGCCACCCACCTTTCTCTATGCCATTTTTCAAGAACACCACAAGTTCCACAAAGTCCAAGATCCGAAGCACCAAGCTCTGGGCGTCAAAATCCAATACTCTAAACCCCAGAACCTTAAAGCCTAAACCCTATATGAACCCTAAAACCCAAAGGCTGAGACCCTGAACTTCTGAACCCTACACCCTAAAACCCTAAAACCCTATCGCCTTGGCCGCTTTTGCACGCAGTTCGCCCGGCTTCAGATCTGGATGCTGCTGGCTCAGCTCCTGCACGAACTCTATGTTTAGGGTTTCGGGATTTAGGGATTTAGGGTTTAGGGGTTTAGGGTTTATAGGGTTTATAGGGTTTATAGGGTTTTAGGGTTTGGGTTTCAGGGTTTAAGTTAGGGTTGTAAGGGGTTCTAACCTTGCACCTCTAAAGGGATACATGAGCAACTATACGCGCATATTGGGATATGTAGGAATCTACGGGGTCTTTCGCTCCATGTAACTGATCATTGGGTGCTTGGGTTTTGGGCGCTAGTACTTGTAGCACAGTAACCCTAAACCCTAAACAGCGGGCACTTAAGTCCTTAGTTCGTAATAATTCATTAACCCCGAATAAAATGGGAAACACATAGATCATAGAAGTTGTGGTCATCTAAAGGGTTATAGAAATAAGTACTCTGGGCTTGGGACTTATATGACTTATATGGGGCTAAACCTTAAAAACCTAAACGTTTAGGGTTAAAGAGTCTAAGGGACAGCTTCTCACAATACTAGACCCAGAGACACCAGCGATATGTACGAAACAGTCACGCGCAAAACTCATAGGGTTTAGGGCAAGTTATATACTGGGAATATTCAGCAGTAGGGGCGGGGGGAGGGTTGGGGGGATTTGATATGACGGGAGGTTATGAGAAGACGCTTCTGCTTCGTAATTACAAGGCATATAATATAATCCCCCTTAAGTAATTCGAATGTAGGGTTTAGGGTCCCCCTTAAGTAGATATAGGCTTTAGGGTATGGCGTATACTATAGTCACCTTGAGTAGATAGAAGATCGTCTATATGGGATCTTATTCTGACTTTGAGGAATTCCACGTTTTATCTACTCAAGGGGACGATGTTGATGGCCACATCTTAGGTGCCTGGGATGCAATCGTAGTCAGTCTTTGCACAACTTCGCACTTTAAACACAATCCCAGAGGGTCCAGGTACCCAATAATTAGGTACTTGGGTTTGGGGTAATAGTAATTAATTGTAGTATAGGCTTTGGGTAAGCATATGATGATTAGGTACTTGGACCCTTCGGGAATGTGCTGTGCCTGTCGGTCCCAAACGCGCTAATTCGAGTTGCAGGCTCCGCCATGTCTGTTGTGTCAAGAAAAGAGAACGGAGTTTAAACATATACGTTAATAATTGTGAAACAAATCAGTGAAACGATTGTCAAGAAACACTGTTCCCACTTGCACGCCATACCCGAAGCTCTCAAATCAAAGACTTCCAGTAGTCCCTGAGCCATGCATTAAACTCAGAACCTACACACAGATGCCCATCTCCACCGTGTACATAGGTATCGAAGCTTTGCATGCAATCTTCAGCTCGCCACTCCTGCCGCACCCCAACCCTAAACCCCTAAACACTCCTGTCGTAAGGCTTCCAACGCTAGCGATGCACGGTTGGGCGCAGCTGCTGCTGGCGGGGAAGGCTCCACGGCGGGAGACGACGTGGCCTGGATTTAGGCTTCGTACCCGGGCGCCCAAAGTATGTTGACTATCTGTAAAATGTGTCTGCCATTGTTCTATCGACTTTTTGGGGGTCCAGGTAGGGCTAGGGTGTAGGGTTGAAGGTGTTGGGCTTGGAACTGGGCTTAAGTTGTAAGGATTTGGGTTCAGGCGGGTTAGGCGCTTGTGGGCGCGCAGGGTTTAGAGTAAAGAAGCCTTTGGCTAGATGGCTGCTTACTTTGGAATTGCAGTTGCAGGAATCCGGGTACCCTAAATCCTAAACCCTACTCCGGTGGCCGCTCGAAGAGATTCAGGCCATGGTTCGGAAGACTCTCTACATATAATCTTGATATTAGCCTGTCTATTCAACTCTACATAAAATTCCAATGTTAATTTCCTTTGTTCACTCCCATGTTAACTCCACCATTCGCGCCTATATTAACCCTTAGATCAACCCTTATAAAGCCCCTATATTACGTAACCCCTATGTAACCCCTATATGTAGCCCCTGAACTCAATCTAGGGTTTAGGCTTCACCCCCGCCCCCCCCCCCCCCGCCCCCTGCCTGCGCAGTATCAGCTTGGGCCCGCGTGAGCACAGGGTTCGTCAGATCCTGGCGGACTTTAGGAATTAGGGAGTAGCATTTTGGGTTTACGGTTTTGGGATTAGGGTTACTGGTGGTTACAAGTACTCTTGGAACCTGATTAGTGTACTAGATCCTCCTCCAGACGAGAATTGGGAATTGGGCTCTTCATGGAGTAGGGCGGAGACACCCTGAAACACATTTGGCGTCGTGGTCTTTTAAGATTACATTCAATAAGACCAGGGTTTGCGGGCTCGGTAGCTCAGGTGAAATGGCCTTAAGTTGATATCCATATAGGCCGCTACCAAAAATAGCTTTGGCCATGCAACTTGGCACAACTGAGGCCCCGCAAGCGAGTCAGCAGGTCCTGAATAATTTCGGCCCAACTTCGTTCATATCTGCAGGAAGTTGTGCCCAAATTCTACACAATGTGTGCCTTACCTAAATCCCAGAAGTATGTAGAATAATGGCCTTTTGGGCTATGTTAAAGGGCTTTGGGCTATTATTTTACCTACTTTTGGGGTCCAGGTAGGGACAAAGAACAGAGTCTGAACCCAAGCGTGCCATCTTCCAAGGATGTCCGCGATTTTCGGATATGTGAGGGTTTGTATCCCCAAGCGTCCAAGTGCCCAAAGTTAGGTACATGGAAATTTGGTAATAGTAGTTGTAGTATATACAGGTTTGGGGTAAGTATCTGATTATTAGGTGCTTGGACCCTTACTTGGAGGTCCGTTGTACTTGTAACCTACCTAGTAACTTAGCTGTAATCCATTTATCAATCCATAGCTAATTGGGTTCTAGCTACAATTACTAAGTAGGTTAAAGGTACAACGGACCTCCAAATAGGGAATCACTGATTCACGTCAGCCTTAACAAGTCCGTTTCGAAGGTTGTTTAGATTAGGGTTTAGATTAGGGTTTAGGGTTTGGGTTTAGGGTTTAGGGTCGTTTCAGGTCCGACTTTCTTCCAGGTCGGTCTTCCTCTTGTCTTCTTGTGTCACACAACTTTCTGACCCCGACACCCTGAACCCTAAACTAGTCAAAGCGCTGACCCCTATGAAACCCTAACTGGCCATCTCTCCTAAAGATTGAGCCCTCCGTCGCCCTTGTGATGAATGATTCCCGTAAAAGCAGGTAGCCCTAAGGGTCCAAGTACCCGACAATCATATCCTGTACTGCAATTACTATTCCCCACCCTAAAGCTTAAACCCCAAGCACCAAATGATTGGGTACTTGGACATTTAGGGTAGTTTATTGAGGGTATTCATTCACAAAGGGCAGACTTCTGGGCTCCCCTTACCAATATCCCCCTAGGTGTGAAGTAAAGCGCAATCCCGAAACCCTAGAACAAACATAGGCTTAGGGTTTTGGATATATGCAGATGATAGATGGCCTCTTTGCGCAGCTCCACGTCCTCGGCTGCTTCATGTGCTTGCGCGATAAGCTTTGATTTCATGTGGGCTGCGAAAAATGAAAAGCCCATATCCATGCCAGAAGATTACAAGATTGGAGCTCAGGCTGTGGGAAGGCCCGGGTATGAGGCTATCCTTCTAATGGTGACAAGTATTTCATACCACAACTGGGCACAGAAGAAGTCAAGGTAGTAGCAGCACGGGAAATACAGTCAGCCGGGTGATGATTGACAACCATTACTAGTCAACAGCATCCACTGCACTCCCTAAACCCAAAACCCCAACCCCAAACAAGTTAACAGCATGCTTACTATAAAAATGACTAGTAATACTTTACCAGCATGAGTTATTTCCATTTTTGGTTACCGTAGGCACGTGGGGCTCAAGGTTCGCGGTTTAGATGCAAGAGCTTAGGATTGCCAACAGAGTTGATTACAGGAGGACACACTAAACGGGGTTTCCAAAAATCAGGGGTAATTTTGGGTGTTCCTACAAAAGAGCATGGGCTATGTTGGTCACCTTACTTATGGCAATTACCAAATTGCACTGAGGTTACCAATGACGTTTTGGGGCGTATTGCTTGATGGAGTTTTTGGGTGGATGTTCTACGCGTTGTTGTCTTCAAGTTGTGGATGTCAATCTCACAGTTCTACGAACCCTAAACCATGGGGAGCTCCAGAGTGATAACCTCCCCCTCCCCCGCGTGCTGATGCTGAAGTAGTGGCTGCTTCTTTTGCCGAAATCCCTACCTGGTCCCTCAAAGCATGCAGAATAATGACGCGCTGGCTCTTTTTTATATGGGCTCTGGTCCATTGCGCTACTTACTTGTGAGGTCCTGAGGTCCTGGTAGAGCTCTGAACCCTAAAAAACCGAAGCCTAAACCTCATGACAACCACTTGCACGGAGCTTCGACAAGCTCGCAGTTGCGCATCCAGTAATCAGCAAATCGAGCCTGTGCAAGTACGAAGCCTTTCGTTCAGGACCTATGGTTTAGCATTTAGGGTTCGGGCTCTAGGGTTTAGGATCTACAAGGTTTGGGGTTAAGGAAACCCTTAACCCTAAACAGCTTACAGTGTCAAAGCCGCCCGAGAACGGAGACTCTGTCGGTGTAGAGTTTAGGGCCTAGGGTTCAGGGCTGATGAATAGGGTTTGTAAGGTTTAGAATCAGAACTTATAGGGTGCATGAATCAGCAAATTCAGCCTCTTCGAACAGGTCGCTTACTATTGGTTAGGTTCGTATAAGCGGTATTCCAAGTTGGGCAAGCTGTGCCAACGGATGGGCGACACCCTTCAGGACCTGATCTTGTAATAGGACCCTTTCTCCACCGCCTAAGCAACGAAGATGTTATGTAGCACGGTCCGGAAGTGTCCCTCACACTTGTACGTGGAGCCACCCCGAATTCAACAAGCCTACTCAGGACCTGGGTTTGGGTTTACGGTATGTTAGGTTTATAGGGCTTTAGGGTTTAGGGCTTATAATTTAGATGAGCTAGAGTTTAAACTTTGAAAGAAGGGGTTATATAGGGGATTATACAGGGAGTATCATAGGGGTTTTTAAGGGGGGTTAGGGTTTAGGGCTTATAATTTATATGGTTTATGCCTTAAGGCCCAAGGACTCAAGTTGCATGGTTTGAGGTACCCAAAATCACCGAGACAACGGTATTTGAAGCTCAGAAGCATCATATTTGAATGCTTGGACCTGTAGGATTACTGCATATGCTGGGGTAGACTGGACTGTTGCAGGAAAGGTTCAAGAAAAGCCCGCAGGCCTCTGCAACCCAAACCTTGGAAAGAAGGAGAAAAGGAGGAAAAAAGAAGGATCATAAACAAGACGAAGAACAACAAGAAGGATGAAAAGAAGAAGGCACACAAACATAGAACAACAACATTACATTGGGCGGTGCACGCTAGCAATTCAAGTTATAACAGTCTCACGTGCGGATCTGTAGGAGGCTGTGCTTCCATTGAGGCTTCTTCCCTGTCATGCTCTTGTACAGCTGATACCCTCTGAAACCTATCTTCTCAAATACGTCCTTCGTCCGAAGCATGAATACTGCATAGCCCTAAGCCTCCTCAACCCGATGCGAGTCATACCGCATGGGAAGACGAGGGCCTTCATAGGGATGTTGAGAGGCTTCCATGTAACTGGTGGGGACAAGTGATGACAGTTACAACGGTACTTGTGGTCACTATATAACTATGACAGTAGTAACAGTAATGATACATAATTCTGTAAGACCATCTGAGGGGATTTCCCAAAATTAGGGGTACCAAAATTTGGGGGAATAAGGACTAAAGTATATTGGGGTTTATGTTGCGGTCCTATTTAGGGAAACTACGATGTGTGAACTCGGGCAGACAGGCCTCCCGCCAGCCAAAGTAGCGTTGCAGCAAGCAGTTGCAGAAGTCGGCATGAGCAAAGATTGCAATCTCCTGCCCAAAGCAGAGAGGGGCAGGTTTTAGGCTTTTGTTTGTTTTCAGGTTTAGGGTTTAAGGTTCAGGGTTTTCTAGGGATAGGTTTAGGGTTTATGGTTTTTAGGGCTTAGGGTTTGAGGTTTTGGGTCTAGGGTTTGTGGGGGACTTCGATCAAGGGGTCTAAACATCCTGCATGACCTTAGTACCAGAATGCACAGACGTTCAAGCTTTGGGATATTTAGGCCCTGCAGGGGTTTTAGTTTAGTATCAACCGTACCTTAAGGGGACCTTAAGGGCGAAGGGTTGGGATTTTGGATTGACTGTCTTGTCAGATACCGTAGGCCAAGGAGTCCTAGGACCAACCTGAGCATAGAATCCTTTCCCCTCACAGTGCACATAGCCCAATGTAGATAATGTTTAAACCCTAAACCGAAACCTAATAGACGTTGGGGCCCAGTGTAGGTGCTGTTTATAGACTTGGAGTTCTGGGGATTTGCTGCACCACAATTTCATCACGCACGTGTTACGGAAATATTCCCCTAAATAATGATACCTAAACCGCAAAGGTATGTAGAATAATGGCCTTTCCGGCTATTTTAAAGGGTTTCGGGCTATTATTTTACCTACTTTTGGGGTCCAGGTAGTACTGGTACTGCCGATAATAATGGTACCACCCACAGCTACTGCCGCCACCAGCACCAGCACCGCTGCTCAAAATAGCCCCAAAGCCGTATATAGTATGGTCTTTGGGCCCAAAAGCATCAAAATATGAGTCCTCAGAGCCTTAGGGCAATGGTACTGAGGTTTGGAGAAAGCCCATCCACCTCTGAGCCCTGTATCCTGGACCCCAAGATCCTCAACTTCAAAATCTCCAACGTCAAAGCTTTAAACCCCGCCTGAATGCAAAATCAAAATCCCAGCCGGAAGATCCAAGTGCCCAAAAACCAGGGCTCTAGGCCCCAAATTCTATGAGTGGCTTTTGGCACCTATAACTGACCCTAGGAATCAAGTATGCAAATAATACCTAAATTCGGCCTTAAAGTCTGTAAATATTGCCTACGCTGGGCTAGTGGAGCCTTAGGGTAACCCCTAAACCCCAAAACCCTAAACCCTAAACCCCTAAACCCCTAAACCCCAAAATCCCTAAATCCTTAAACCCTGAAACCATCAGGGGTGATGTTTGGGCAAGTCAACCCTTAGGGCCACACGTCTTAAAACTGACCTCAATCCTACCAGAACGGGCATGTCGTAGGGACAATTCAGGTTTGAGGTTTTGGGTTTAGGGTTTAGGGTTTGGGGTAAAGGGCTTACTGCTTAGGATTTAGGGCAATATTCATGGGGAATTATCCACAGACGCAAAACCTTATGGTCGTCACAAATCACCGTCCCTTCCCCCTAATGCCAAGACACCGCACTTCGAAATAAGAAGTACTCTTTGAGGTTTAGGGTTTGGGGTGTTTATGGGTGTTTTTAACCAGAGGACTTTAACTTAACGTCTCTGTTGCCCAAAGCTAATGTCAAGCCTCAGACTTCCAATTACTCTTCTGTCTTTACACTGGCAGTTGCCACCTTTGGCTTTTAGGGTTCAGGCTTAAGAATTTTTTACCACGTTGGGCATATTAATGGGGGGATATGAAATCGAAGCCTGAACATGTGCATGTTATTGACACGATTATATTTGACTATACCAAAAGCCCTCTTATGATTCAGGTGGGCCTCGTTCCCCTTCATGTGACATTTGGTTCTCCATCATTTTACTTGCTTGGCATTTGGTTCTCCATGATTTTACTTGCTCGGGCCTCGACACAGCAAAGCTTATAATGCATCCTTCTATAATCCTGACGACCAGCCTATCAAGCCATGCATTCGAACTACCCTAAAAATCTAAAGCCCGGCCCCCAACCCGAAACCCTCAATTTACCTGCAGGATCCCGATAGCCATATGCCCGAAGACCTCATTCGGAATACATACTCCTGATTGAAAGCAGCTAGGTCCTTACATAACCCTATAAAATTTTCTTTGGGCTCCTGCAGTACTCCCCACTCCCTAACCCAAATCCCTGAAGCACTTCCCCTGACCTTCAATCCATCCAAGCCTTACACCCAAAAACTTGGAGATCTAAACCCTAAACCCTGAACCCCTATATTCTACACCCCTACCAACGAATCCCTAAACTCTATACCCGTAATCCCTAAAACGTGTAACCATGTGAGCTACAGTCAATATTTCGACACTTGAGACCCTAACCCTAAAGCACTGCACTCTACACCCTTAATCTAAACCCTACACCCTAAATCCTACACCCCTATACCCCAATACCCCGAAACCAGGTAGCCTCCGCAGTCTGCTCCATGAGCCAGCCCACGAAGGAATCCACACGACGCTCGAAAGCACTCCGGGGCTCGCGACGCCCTGCGTCTTTGGAAGCGGCTTGGGCTTCTGTGGTTTCATAAGGGATATACAGGGACTATATAGGAGTATAGGGGTTGTATAGGGATGTTACGGGGCTTTGGGTTTCCCAAAATCAAGGCTTGATGTGTAAGTTTAGGATTGATGGGAGTACCTCAAACTCCAAAACCTCGAGTTTTTGGACCCAATCCCTGAACCAGAATGTTTTTTGGGTCCACTTCTGGAAGGGCCTAGGATTTTTGGAGCGCTTAAATTTGAGGATCTAACTTTCTGGTTCATGGGATTCAGGGCTAGGCTGCAAGATCTGCAAGGTGCACCGTTGTGTTCAGAGTTTGCTGTCAAACCCAGAGGGTCCAAGTAATCAACAATCAGGTACTTGGGTAAGATGTCCCCTAACCCCGAGTCACCAAGCTTCAGCCCCAATAGCTAAGACCTCCGGCCCCCCAAATCTTAAGCCCTAAACCCTGCAGACGGGTTCACTTCCAGGGACAGTTTTTTGGGGTTTTAAGAGGACGTCCAGGGATTCTGTTGCAGTTTGGTCTCCGTGGCAGCGCTTGAAAACACTGGCCATGCGGAATGCAAGAAATATTCAGACAAACCTGAACATGCTGCTGCTCANNGCTCAGAAAATACCCACAATGCAACACATTTTCATTATAATGACAACTCGAAACAAACCCAAAAATCTCTCTGAAACCTTTCAGCGAAAAACACAAACAACGAAACCCTGTAAATACCGTTAAAAACCATCCCTGGAAATGAATCCGTTGGGTAAACCCTAAACCCCAAACCCTGCACCCCAAAACCTGAAACCTAAACCCCCAAGTCCTGAGAACTCATCCCCCTTAATCCCATGACCATATATAACCCTTATACAGTCATTCTATAACCCCTATATCCTTGGGATCTCTTCATATTAATCACCCTAAACCCTAAACCCTGAACCCTAAGCCCTAATCCCTATAGACCCTAAACCCTAATCTACAAACCCTAAACCCTAAACCCTAAACCTAAATCTACAAACCCTAAACCCTAAACCTTAAATCTATAAACCCCAAATCCCTAAACTGTAAACCCTAATTCCTAATTCCTAGTCCCTAAACCATATACCCTAAACGCTAAATCCTAATTCCTAAACTGTAAACCCTAAACCCTAAACCCCATAAGCGTCCCAGGTGCCATCATTGGTGAAGAGCCGCTGCGAAGCTACGGGCGTAATCCCAACCTCGGATCAGAAATAGGGTCTAGGGTTTTTGCGATTTAGGGTTTAAGGTTTAGGGTTTATAGATTTAGGGTTTGAGGTTTAGAGTTTAGGGATTTAGGGTTTACAGTTTTGGGATTTAGGGTTGTCTTTTGCACCCGAGTGAACTCCTCCTTTCTCGGGCTTGACCAGTGGGTCCTCCTCCAAAGCTTAGCAGCTTTGTTGGCCCTCAGCTGCGCCAGATCTTCCTAGGTATGGTTTTAAGGTTTAAGTTTAGGGCTTCGGGTTTAGGGCGTACCTGGACCCTGAAGGTCGTATCTTTTGGCGAAATGGCCTACAAAGTACCTGCAAGATCGACATGTATCCCTGCATCCTTGTACACCGACTATATCTTCCCATAAACCCTCGAAGCTCAAATACAGTATAAAGGTGAACAAGGCTTAAAGCTTAAATGAACGCTTTAGGCTTCAATTCCCCCAAAGGTGCCCCTTCTGGTTCAAGGAGTCAATAAGGACTATGTGAGCTATAGTCTAACCTCCGAGTATCCCCCGTAATAACCCCTATAGTACTCCCCTCTATCATCCCGTATGTAACCCCCTTTAGGAAGTTTAGACTATAGCTCACGTGGAGTTTAGCAAGGTTTGAGTCGTGTTCGAAACCCCCGGGTACTCTTGGGGAGGGGGGGGGAAAGTATTGTAACCCTACACCCTAAACCCTGAGCCCTCAATAGTAGTTTCCAGCTTCTTTTTCATTATCTCAATACAATCCGTATATATAATCCTTTACGAATAGCAGAGACTCCTGCATATAACTTCAGCTTCCTACCTGAACCTAGGCCCGCGGGGGGGAATCTCGTGACTTTGAAGGTTTGGGATTTATTTCGACGCTATAGGGGGTTAGGGTTTAGGGATTTCAGAAGTTAGGATTCAGGTGTTTAGGGTTCAGAGTGGTTCATGGTGCAAAGGGTTCAACGCTTTAGGCTTTAGCAGTTCAGCTGTTTCTGAAGTCAACCATGCTTCAAGCCTAGACCTGCGCATGCCAGTGCTCAGTAAGGAATGGCGGATTGGATCCCACAAATAGCACCATCTACTCATCAACGAAAAATCTCTACGCGCAGGGGCCACCCGTTCCATAAGTATGCATGCCTGTACATAGAAATCCCATAAGTACTATTCAAAGGACTTATCCATACCTACCCGCTGTTATAACCCAACCTACAACTATTGGGACCTCCTTGTATATTCCATGGCTTCAGTCCCTGCTAACCACCAACAAGCCTTTCTGCTCCGGGTGACCTTGCAGTCTTCTGGGACGTACCTGGGCATGGACTTGTAAGAAGGGCTGTGAAGATTTTAAATTGAAAGTCATGGAGGGTGCCTATAAAATATCTGGAAAAGGGAATATGAAATGGAAACTCGGATTGTATAGGGGCTGATAAACACTAAATATTGGCTTTGTCTTTCTAACATTCTGGAGCTTTGGGTTTTTTAGATTTTAGGATGTTTTAGGGCTCATTGCACTAAACCCTAAACCCTAAACCCTTGAACCCTAAACCCTAAACCCCTAAACCCTAAACCCTAAACCCCTAAACCCTAAACCCTAAACCCACCCTATTTGGAGCTTCGGGCTTGGAGTCGAAGGCTTGAAACCTTCACCGTAATGCTTAGACCCTCAGCTGAATCTATCTGAAGCTCGAATCCTAAACCCTAAACCACTAAATCCTAAGCCCCAAAAGTATGTAGAATGATTGCCTTTTGGGCCATTTTAAAAGGTTTTGGGCTACTATTCTATCTACTTTTGGAATCCAGATGAGCCCTAAAGCCCCACCCCAGATGAGCCCTGAAACCTGCTTGCATGCCATGGGGCCACCACACTTCCGGTAAATCGCCGAAGTCCACCTGCGCTTCTTCAATCCCGGACCACGATGAATATTTATATCTATATATACACACATATATTTAAATGTATACATACATGCACCCTCAAAATTATAGTCCTTCGTACAACGATTTCCTAAATGGGGCCCCTAGCTAATTTCCGGAAATTTCCACGTGTCTGACAGACCTACATTCATAATTTCATGATTCATGGGATGATGGAGCTTTAAATTTCTGGCCGACAACTTCCCATCCACCACAGCTTCTTCAACGCTGGGTCTTGTCCAGCCCAGTGGCGGCCCTGAAAAACATCCAGCAGCACTACGCAGAGAGGGATGAACGAGCTTATGCCACCTGCCTGCGGAAATGCAAATCTCAGCTGCGACGTGGGCCTCAGTTGAACAAGGTTATGCTGGACATTGAGGATAACCCTAAGGGTCCAAGGACCCAAATAATACTCATATGAACCCTTTCGCCACTACCTAGCCCGAACAGGGTTTAGGGTGAAGGCTTAAGTTTTGTCCAAACAGCCCCCATGTGAGAACCCCATAGGGTTTAAGGTTCAAGGGGTCACCCAAGCGGTCGAGCACTCCACGATTCTGGATTATATGCGAGTTTCCCACGTTAAGAATATCATTTTGGGTGTCCCTGTAAACTACCATATCTTGCCAATTAGCTCTTCTTTGTTTTCCTGTGTATTTCTTCGTTTGGTAGAAGAGCTCAAAGGCAAACCAGTCCATCCCTTCCATGCGGAAGCCATCCCTGGGTGACCTACCCTACCTGGACCCTCCAATTTAGTGCTTTTTGGGCCTGGTATTTTTTGGGGTTAGGGCTCTTATTAGGACTGCCCAAGAGGTACGAGTATCTGTTGCAGTCTCGCTTTGCTATTGGTCGCAGGAGGTAATTACCCCTCGGTCTTTACTAGGGCAGGACTCCTTGTGGTCAAGGATGATAGGGTTTTGGGTTCAAAGAATGCACATTCTGGACGGCATTCTCAAACTTCTCCTTCCACCCGTTGTGTTTCCTTGCGAGACCCTTTTACCTTACTGGAGCTTATGCAAACCCAAGTATTCCAGAGGTAGCGGAGGTTTTCTGGAAAGCATGAAGCTTCAGAGACGCTCCCGGTGGGAGACACCTCGGGACAGTGAGTGAAAACGCGGAGTTTCCACACAAGAGCAAGGTATTAGAATCTACAGTGCTTTCTTCAAGGGGCCCCAAACATCTGGGGTAGAACAGCAACATGGGCAAGGACCCCCAGGTTCTGAAAACTACCCTCACCAAACTAGCATGGCACTCCAAGAAGTGCTCTATGAAGACAACCCTTGAGTTAGAAAGGTACTCTGCAAGGTTCCGACTCCTAAGCCAGATACCATGCAAGCTTTGGGAGAGGGCACAATATGGCATTTAAAGCCCTGAGCCTCCATCTTGAAATCGCAACTCTCAAGCCCAACATCTTGAACCTTGGGTCCTGACTGCGAAAGCCTTAACTCCACAGACCCTAACCCCTATGCTGTAGGCTATGGTGCCTGGTGAACCCTAAACCTAACCAATATCCTTAGCCTCCAGCTCCACACCTGACACCTGAAATCCTAAACTTCAAGGCCCAACCCTACATTCTTTACCCTCAGTTTCTGAGCATCAACACCCTAAACTTACAATCCTATAGTCCCCCCTAATCAGATAGAATCTGGGATATCTGGGAATCTTATTAAAATCTACTCAAGGCCATATTGTATCTACCTAAGGGGGACTATAAGGTCATGGGGACTTAGCAAGCGGGCTATGGGGATCACCGTTGGTATTATATGACTTACAGTGGTTGTATCTATACTTACCAAGTACCCCTGACCCTAAGCCCTAAACCCTGAATGAAACTGAAGTTTCCATTTTCTTTTTCGTTCTACTAAGTCAGCCTGACCCTAAACCCTAAATGAACCCTAATCTAAATTGCAGTTTCCATTCTCTTTTTCGTTGCGACTACGTCACCCTGACCCTAAACCCTACATAAACCCGAAACAAAATTGCAGCTTCCATTTTCTTATTCGCTATGACTACGTCACCCTGACCCTAACCCCTACACCCTAAACCCTAAACCCTGAATCGTAAACCCTAAACCCCTAAACCGCCTAAACCCTAAACTTAGCCCATATTACCCCAGGCACAAAAAAGGTTCGGTCTGTGTGGTACCAACCACCCCGCACTTTACATAAATATAAGGAATCCCATACCCTCAAAAGTATAAAGGATCCCTAATAATGATCCAGTAAACCCCAAAAACCTAAACCCCAAAACCCCAAAACCCTAAACCCCTAACACCCCAATACCCTAAACCCCCAAACCCCAAACTAAACCACCCCAAACCCTAAAACCACCCCAAACCACCAAAACCCAAGTAAAAGCCCCCGAAGTCAAGCTCGAAGGCCGGCCGAGATCGCAGGAGGCCTTCGAGGGAGCCGCTGACAAAGGCTTTTTAGGGTTTAGGGTTTTAGGGGTTTGGGGTTTATGGGTTTAGGGTATAGGGTTTTAAGGGTTTAGGGTTTAGGATTTATGGGTTTTAGAGTTTAGGGTTTAGGGGGACCACCTGAACCCCGAAAGTATGTAGAATAATGGCCTTTTGGCTTTGGGCTATGCTGTTTACCTGCTTTGAGGTCCAGGTAGGGCTGAAGTTTAAGCATTAGGGTGCAGGGTTGATTTCTTAGGGCTTAGGTTTAAGAAGTAGGGTGTGGAGTGTAGGGTTGAGGGATTACGGTTTATAGTTTAGGGAATAGAGTTTAGGGTTATCGAACTTAGCATTGCGTGGGGCTGGACAGGGCCCTGAGCCTTAGACCCTAAACCCCTAGACCCTAAACCCCAAACCCTAAACCCTAAACCAGGAATCTAAGTCTTGGGCAGGGACCCTCCTGGCCCGGGCTCAGGTACCCAAATAGTATACTTTATAGGGTGTAGGGTTTAAGGTTTAGGGTTTAGGGTTTAAACTCCTAGTACCCCCTTAATTTCCCCTATAGTAGTCCCCTACATAATCCCCTATATAACCCCCTTAAAGGAATTTAGATTATGGCTCCTTTGGGCCCAAAGTACACCGCAGTTGGATACTTGGATCGTTGAGGCTCAGGGTTTGGGGTTGACAGCTTAGTAAACCCTCAGCCCTAAGCCCTAAACTCTAAACCCCAAGCCCCATAAACCATAAACCCTATAGGGCTTTAGGTCCGAAATACACCTAATATTACAGTATTTGGGCCCTGCTATTTGGGTCCTTGGACCCGCAAAGTTTGTTGCAGATGCCATGCGTAGGGTTTAGGATTGAGGGTAGACATGTTCAGGCTTGCGCTCGTTCAGAAGGTTTAGGGCTTAGGGTTTAGGGTCTAGGGCTTTGGGTTTAGGGTTTTGGGCCCTTGTCTTGCCCTATAAGGATCCAAATAGCCCAAGGTAGGCAAGATTTTGAGCTATAATCTAAACTCCTAATATCCCCCCTTAATAACCCCTATAATAGTCCACTATATAATCCCCTACATAACCTTGTTTGAGGAGTCAGGAATATAACTCGGTTGTGTTCTTGGAACCCTAGGGTTGCTGCTGACCTGATCGCCATATTTGATGAATCCCGAGATTGAGTTGGAGCGTCTAATGGTAGAAGCCTAAGTAAGAACCAATATGATGCTTAATGAACCCCCTCCTTGTAAGGGCCTGAATATTAGGATCCCTACTATAATCCCTATTAACGGGAGGGGGTTTATTAATCAGGGGTCTACCTTAGGACGCCTCACATGGACCTCAAATGATATTGGTCATCATCTAGGCAACTACATTCTTCATCTGGCAGCTACATGAACTCAGTTTCCATTTCATGTTTCATGCCCTTTCCATTGGGCCAGTAGTCTCTTCAAAAAGACTGGTGATTAGAGAGGCTCCCAGTTTCAGGTTCAGGGTTATTTTTTGGCTGAAGGTTTAGGATTGAGGGTTTCCTAAACCTCAAACACAAGTAAAATAAAAGCCCTAAAGCCCTTACAATAGCCCAAAAGGCTATTATTCTACATACTCTTGGGGTTCAGGTTAATCAGGGTTAGGGTACGCGCCGCTGGTCTTGTTGGCTAAACAGTGCCTGCCGAATGCGGGAGGTACTTGCAAAGTGTCCGCCCCGGGAATGCCGGGGATCCAAAAATTGGGCTCCTAAAGCCCTAAACTCTGAACCCCTACTGCGATTCAAGCAGTAAACCCTGAACAGTAAATCCTCAATCCTAAAGCCGCAAACCTCCAAACCCCATACCTATGCCAACAGCCCTAAATCCAACATAGAACAGTAGCTTCTAAACGGCAGTTTCTGTTTTCTCGTGTTCCGTGCCAAGTCCCCATACACACCCCTAGACATGGGGTTACTGAGCCAACTTAGAAGGTTCAGAAAGCAGTGGCAACGCGTTACAATGTCCTCATCAAGGAACTGACCCTAAATCCTACCTAGCTCGAGGGCCAATCAATATGCACAGAAGCTACAGTCTAAACTCCTAGACTCCCCCTTAGTAACCTCTATAATGCTCCTCTATAGAATCCCCTATATAACGCCCTTGAAGGAGTTTAGACCCTAAACCCAAACCCTATATAATCCCCTACATAACCCCACTTTATGGAGTTTAGAGTATGGCTCACATAACCTCCCCACCCCCTCCCCAGCGACTGCGCCTCCAAATGCTCAGAGCACAGGGGGCTGGCATGTACCCGGTTTCCTGTCGCAACCCCTTAGGGTTCACTAGGGCTTAGGGTTTAGAGTTTAGTTAGCTTAGGGTTTAGAGTTTAGGGCAAACTGTAGAGGTCCAGGCAGAGTTTACAGGTTCAGCGTTTCAGATATCAGGGTTCACGGTGAGGTGTTCATAGTTCGAGGATGACTCTAGGTGGACCCAGGCTACCAGTTGGCTATCCTTGCACAGTGGCCTCCCAAGCTCAAAGTTCATGTATGCTAAAGTAGGCGGAAAATTACCGTAAAACTGCATCCATGTTTCTGAACATCTTGTTATCAACTAAATTTTCTAAAGTTTCTGGATACAATGAAGGTTACCGTAACAAACGGTACCCCGGTGACAAAACGCGGAACCTTGAACTCTCAACGCCCTACAGCCCAAAGTACCTGAGAAAGTTAGCTCTCCCAGAGGGTCGGCATATACAACTGTTACCCTAAAGGTCCAAGTGCCCAACAGTTAGGTACTTGGAATGTTGGGGATAACAATAATTGTAGTACAGGCTTGGTAAGTATATGATTATTTGGCACTTGGGACCTTAAGGTTACTTTGAACCTTAAACTTTGAAGCCTAAAGTCTCAACCCTGAAGCCTACCCTAAGGCTCCTGGGGCTATTTGGGGCTTTATGGGAGGAAGATTTGGGCTTTTGGGGGCTAAGGTTTGGGATCCAGAATGAGGGTCCAAGAGCCTTGGGCTAAACACTAAACCTGACATCCCTGAATCCTAAACCCTACCCGGATCCCAAAAGTACGTGAAATAATTGTTTAGGGCTATGATTATGGGTTTAGGGCTATTATTTTACATACTTTTGAGGTTTAGGTACACCCTAACTCTGACATGCATGGTCCTCCCAGGTCTGGCACTGCCAGCAGCGCAGTTTGCATAGCTCGGGTCAGGGGTGAACCTTGAGCTCTCAAGGGTTTAGGGTTAGGGCCCCTGAAATAGGGTCGATAAGAACTTCTTCTGATTCTGGCAAATCATATGATTCCAGCTCATAACCGTGAAGAGAACTACGTGAGCAAAACCCAAAAATGCCTTCAGGGAAGCTTTTGTTACGACTTGGAATATTACGGGTTCTCCTACCCACCCCATTTTTCTACCTCTCTTAGGGTTCCATGCCAGGTAGCCGTAAACAAACCCAAGTCCAGGAAAATCTCCATACGTGGTATAGGCGCGTACGTACATGGTAGTTGTTCAAGATACCTGTCAAAATGGCCATGATGTAGGTTCCCTATTAAGTAAGGATCCCCTTTTAAGGAAATGTATTTCTAATGGTCTCTTCTTGGCAGAGACCTTTCGAACAATCCCGACATGCAAAAACAGTCTTCAGCGTGGGGACAAGATCCTCCCGAGACGCTGAGGCCTACACAGGCAGCCCGGAACACAGATTCCTACATCCTTAACCCTACATCCTTAGCTCTAAACCCTGGACCCTGAAGCCTGAGCCCCAACTCTGAAACCAAACCTTCGCACCCTAAGCCCTACATCCTGAACCGTAAGTCCTGAACCCTAACCTCCAAATCTTAAAGCTCTAAACTTTAGACCTTGAACCCTGAACTCTGAACCCTAAGCCTCAAACCCTAAAACCCCTAAACCCCTAAACCCTAAACCCTTAAACCCTAAACCCTTGAAGCCCTAAACCCTTAAACCCTAAACCCTTAAACCCTAAACCCTTAAACCCTTAAACCCTAAACCCTAAACCCTTAAAGCCCTAAACCCTTAAACCCTAAACCCTTACACCCCTGAACCCTTAAACCCTGAACCCCTAAACCCTAAACCTTAAACCCTAAACCCCCAAACCCAGGTGAGAAGCTAACAACCATCCCAGGCGGTCGGGCGAAGCGCGGGCGCAGGGAGGTGGCTTGTTCCTGCGGACCCCAAGGGGTCCAGGTTGGGGCTGTAGTCTAAAATTCCTTAAAGGGGGTGTTTATAGGGGGTTATATAATATAGGGTTTAGGGTTTAGGATCTAGGGTTCAGGGCTTAGGGTCTACAATCCTAAAAGGGATTGTATATAGGGGATTATATAGGGTTTAGGGTTTAGGCTTTAAACGCCTGAAAAGGGGTTATATAGGGGATGATAAGATATAGGGCTTAGGGCTGAGAGCTAAACTCCTTAAAGTAAGACTATATAGGGGATTATATAATATGGGGTTTAGGGGTTAGGGTTCAGGACTTGGGGTTTGGGGCCTAAAGTCCTTAAAGGGGGGGTATATAGGGGATTATATAGGGTTTAGGGTTTAGGGTTCAGGATTTAGGGTGAAGGGTTTAGGGTCTAAAATCCTTCAAGGGGGGGTTATGCAGGGGATTGTATAATACAGGGTTTAGGGTTTGGGGTTCAGGATTTGAGATTTACGGTCTAAACTCGTTAAAGGGGGGGTATATAGGGCATTATATAGGGGACTACTATAGGGTTTGTGAAGGGGGATACTAGGAGTTTGGGGTTGGGCTAAGATTTGGGGTTTAGGGTTTGGAGTTCAGGGTCTATAGGGTTTGGGGTTCAGGGTTTTAAGGTTTAGTGTTTTGGGTTTGGGGTTCGGGGTTCAGGGTTTAGTGTTTGGTTTTCGGGGCTTTAGGTTTGAGGGTTTGGGGTTCGGGGTTTGACCCTCAGGGACCCCAAGGATACCTAGGGGCTATACGGGGAACATGAGGGTCGTTATTTGAGATTGCATTGGGAATGTTTGGAGCGTCAGAAATGTAGTGTTCTTGAAGTTGTATGGTATATATTTGTGCCCTATCTAGATGCGAAGCCATTTGGGCCCCGAAGTATGTGCCACACACCTCAGCCGTTTCCTGACATACTGTTCCCAGCTTGGGGCTTCAGGATTTCAGGAGATGTTTGCCGGTCATGAGAAGGTTCTGAGGTCTAGGTTTTTGAGGTTTGGGATTGAGGTCTACCTATAAACCCCAGAAGTATCTAGAATAACTGCATTTTGGCTATTTTTGGGTGTTTTGGGATATTATCTTACCTACTTTTGGGGTCCAGGTAGGGATGGGGGTTCATTTTCAGCGGTGAGGGCTCAGGAAATAGGGCACGGCGTCTGGAATGATGCCAGTCATTTTGACACCAGGGCACACTTAGGAGTCTTAGGTGAGGGCGGTATTCCTGTTTGTCAAACTACCTTGCGAACCTGGGAGAAATCTGAGGCCTCGTGTACCGAAATACTACGGTACACTCTCAGTGGTGTTGGGGGACCTAAAATCCAGTTGTTGGGGTACCTGGACTTGCATACTAGCTCAGAGAGATATTCTTGGGAGACTTTCTGAGGATGACCTCCGAAAAATCTCGCATTAATGGTCTCCACCCACAAGAGCTTGCACACGAAAAGAAAGCCCTGCAGCTAAGCTCCCGAACCCGAATCTCGTGAAGCCATAAACCCATCTTCGCTGGGCCCTGCCTCTAACCCCAGTTACGTATAGTCGTACGCGCTATACAGCTATACCTCCTAGGCACTCGAAGGCACCACAGGAACAAGCGCAATATAGGGTTGAAGGGTCAAGGGGCATAGCTAAACCCGTATGCCTAAGGCTGACCATTAAAACCCTAAACCCTTAGACATTGCAGTTTGCATTTAGTATTCCATGACCCTGTAATGCCATGCGTTCCCTGTAAAGCGTACCAAGACTTGGAAGCCTATGCTCAACCCAAATAATAGATGCTCAAGTCCCAAGGTAGCTAAAGCCACTCTTGCCCAACGTACGGACTATGCTATCTAGCTCAGAGCTTTTTGAACAGTTCAGCTCTTAGCTCTCAACCCTGCAAGCACCCTCAACCCGAAACGATCACATCTATCCCCTGCGGCCCAAGCCCACGCCCGTGAAACTCTACTCGCTCCCGTACGGTGCAAGTGTCTGGGCCTGAATCATCCAACCCCTCAAGAACCCTGCCCACAACTTACATACGCTAGAGATCCCTCTATCTGCCTTTCATGCGAGCTAAAGTCCATATAGTATTCTAAATGGATATATAATGGGGTCCTATTAGCGAGTCTATCAGGGAGTATGCTAAACTACCAAAGAGACTCTCATGTCCACCACACACCTGCAGAGAGCTGGTCTAAAGAGAGTCAGAGGTGAACCTTAGAAGGGCTCCAGACGGTTGAGGTCCGCCTGGAGCGAGATAAAAATCGCGCGTACGTCATTGCGCTCG